TGAAGTTCATACATCCCCAGACAGAATTCTGGGAGTTGAAGTTCATACATCCCCAGTCAGAATTCTGGGAGTTGAAGTTCATACATTCCCAGACAGAATTCTGGGAGTTGAAGTTCATACATCCTGAGTCAGAATTCTGGGAGTTGAAGTTCATACATTCCCAGACAGAATTCTGGGAGTTGAAGTTCATACATCCTGAGTCAGAATTCTGGGAGTTGAAGTTCATACATTCCCCAGTCAGAATTCTGGGAGTTGAAGTTCATACTTCATCCTAGCCAGAATTCTGGGACGTGGTCGACCCATCTTAAACTTACTAAGTCATTCACTAATCTGAATGGCTCTGACTAATGATGGCTGTGCGGGAAGGAAAGAACAAGCTACTTACTCTGTGTAAGGGTGACGGTGGTTGCGGCAGCTGTAATGGGTATTTCCGACGTATGGGTGGCGGTGCAGCTTCCCGCAGGCAAGCTGATGATGGTGGCTTCTCCCAGAAGGTTACAGATGCGCTGCTGCATGGGGGTGAGAATCACTGGGGCAGCAGAGGTCCCTGTTGCATCTTCTTCAACCTCCTGGACTTCCCCACCTCCTTCCTGGTCATTGCCACCATCTTCTACGGCGGCTCTGACTTGGGCAACTTTGCGCCGTACCTCCGTCTTGAGGTCCGACCACTTCTTCTTCACTTCCGGCAGCTCCCGGCGGCAGGTCGCCACTGCATTGACCCGTCGCAGGATGTTGTGCCATGCGGCGGCCTTGACGGTCAACGGCACACCCGCGTTGAAGTGGTTGATGAGCAGGTGCTTGCTCCGCTCCAGTTCCTCTACGATGATCTCCACCTCCCGTTCCGAGAAGTTCATCTTCCGTTTCTTAGCGGGTGGTGCTGGAGGGGACGACATGATCATACGAGGGTCCCAAGATGAAGACAAGCCAGGTCAGGGGGTCTTGAGACGAAGCACGGGGGGTCAGCCTGCAAAAAAGGAGGAGATTGCGTTGAAGAAACAGACCCAATTTGGATCGAATCACCCTATTTCGGAAGGAAGGAAAGAGGCTTCGTTATTCAAGAATATCTCCCCAAAGGGTGGGTGGATGCAAAATCCTACCAAAGGGCTGATAAACAGAGCCAGCTCTGTAGTGAAGCATTTACACATTTTATAATATTAGTATTTGTAAGTATTTATAATGCAGGTAAATGGCCAAAGTTAGGTAGGAACTATATTTGGGTTAACGCCAAGCAGAAGTTAGGTCTTAAGGTTAGCGTGCTACCTTCCTTTCCAAAATTACAGAGAACCATAGGGAAGGTGGGTGGCGTTTTAGCAAAGGAAAACGGTCAAATGAAGGAGTCGGGAGGGTGGATGTAACGGCAAATACGAGGAGTGTGTGTGTAACGGACTCCGAGCCTATTCAGATGGTCCTTTTGCACAAACTTACCTAGGAGACCATCTCATTTAGCATTTCTGGACTGGGAAGTCCAAAAATCAGAGTTAGGGTTGTTTCAAAAGGGAGCCAAGAAAAGGGAAGTCGAGGTTTAAGGATCACATTTTGGAACTGGGCCATCTCTAAAGCAGATGGGAAAAAAAGGGTTACCTCTCCCAATGGGATATTTGGGGGTCTCTAAAATAGGGGGGCTACATGAAAAGCGTCACAACCCTTCAGTAGACTTTGGGAAGGGGGGGGGAATAAAAGGGAATAAGAAAAGAAATAGCTAGCCCCAGACATTTCTGGAGCATGAAAAAAAAAAGGAATGGATTCTTTAAATTCAAATTTGAATTGTAAGTTCAATTTTGAGGGGAGGGCAGCAGTGGGAAAATGGAAAATAGCCATGTAACGGACATAAATTCATTTTTGATTTAATTCCTGAGGAATTAAAATCCCAAAAATTTTAATTTTAGGGAGGGGAAATGAGGAAAATATGGGGGTTTCAAAAATTGGGGTGGGGGGAGAAGGGAATTCATATAGTTTCCATTTCAGGAGTTCCTTTTCAGTTTAACTTCTCAGAAAGGAACAAAGAAGCCTCCATAATTATTATGAATATTATTATTTTTTTTACTGGGGAGGGGGAAACAGGGGAAAAAGAAGTTAGGGAGCATTGGTGGCTTTGAATTTGAGGAGGGGGGAAAGAGAAGGGAATTGATTTACATTCTGTCAGAATTGAAAAGTTAATTCTAATTTATAAATTA